ATGATTAAAAACTTTGCAAAAGTACTCCTTAGAAAATTTTTTTAGATCAACAATAAATAATGTATTAATTTATCTCCGTATGTACTCACTATAAAATCTTATTATTAACCTGATATAGAGATCAATATATTTTTTCTCAATTAAAAAAAAGAATTACTGATCTTATTAATTGCCATATCAGAATGATGGCAAAGTTAGTAAAAGTAATTTTGATATAAATATATAAAAACTCAATTTCGAAACGATTAAAAAAAAAAAAATGAAAAAAAAATGGACATCTTAAAACAAGCACAAACCAAACCAATTTTTTTAGTTTATCTAAATAAAACTTCTAAAAAGTTTACCTGACATAATTTTTCTAAGGAAACTTCTAATACAATTAATTTGGGGTCATCTAATAAAGATAATACTCATTTACCTCTTGAATCGGATGCTTTAGCTCTAGCTCTGTCTTCTCTATCTTCTCCATCCCCTAAATCAAAAATTAAAAAACAAAAAAATGTTTTAAATGATAGCAATAAAGAGTCTTGTCTTTGGCCAAGTACAATTATTAAATCATTACTTTCTTACTTATCTGAAAATATGCAACTTTACCAAATGAATAAAGAAAAATTTTACTTTAAAGCTGCTTTATACCTTGGTAATGGTAAAACAGGAGATCAAGTTCATAATAAAATCCGATCACTTATCAATAAGTATATGGAAAAAAGCTCGAACAAAACTGAAAAAGGGGCATCAACTTGGCTTTTTTATAATGAAATGAATGATATATTCGGAAACCATGAAAATGTAAATCCCAACTATTTGGTAAATAGCACGGGTCAGGTAAATATTACTGTAATATAACTTAACTTTGTATCTGTATATATATAAAACAAATAATATTATTATTATTATAATTGTAATATATATAGACTTATGCAAAAAGATAATGGTAATAATAAGGATTGCACTCTAAAATCTAATAAGAAACGGCGTTTAGATGAAGATAAAATGCATTTTCATCGATATAATTACACAAACTAAAAAAACTGAGGTCGAAACCAAGCAAAAACTTCTTCAGTTAGAAATAGATAAACTCGAATTTGAAAAAAAAAAATAGGAACATGAAAAAAATGAGAAAACCGAATTAGAAAAGTACAAATTAGATCTTGAGTATAAATTACAACTAGAATTAAAAACCAGAGAGCTTGAAATTAAATATAAAAATAAGGTGGCGATGGAAAATGAATTGTAAAAAATTATTACATTATATAAAGTTAGTTTTTTTTTTTTTTATTGTGTTTTTTTTTTTGGTGCTTGTATTTTGACACCATATTTGTATTAAATTTTTTATTAAACTTTGTTCGTCTTGTCAAATTATAAACCCATTATTATATTTTAAAGTAATCAAAAAACATGCTTTGAATGTTCAACCCATATAAATGAAGCCAAAAAAGAAATGTAAAAACAAATTTTAAATGATATTTGTAAGCAAAAATAAAATCCGAAAAGATTAAACATATAGTTTATGAAAAGCTTATGGATATCGAAGGAGAAGGAATAGTTATAGATATTTCTTGAATGATTAATGAATTAGAATTAAATGACATAGAGGAAGTTTTCGCAAGTTCATTAGCTGTGAAAAGGAGATAGCTATTTATACGTTTACCATAAAAAATATGATAATAAATAAATTAAGACTACTTTATTTACCTATTTGTGTAATTGTCCTTTGAATATCCATTGGTTAATTTTTCGGTTAACATCATTTTCCAGAACTCTTGGAGGTGGAAGCAAATGAAACGAACATATAAAATGAATGAACTATTTTTAATGTAGTAAATTTATTATAGAATTGACTTTAAGTTAAATTTAGTCTAGAGATTCTAGCTGAGTTGCTAATTAAGTCAGATAAGTTTGATTTAGTAGTTAACATTATATTCCTGTTATAAAAAAGAGAAGCAAAAATAAATAAATAAATAAATATATAATGCATTCATTTGAGAAAAAAGAACTTCATATGTACAATTTTTACAGCCAAAACTCTTGTGATCTAGTGATCGGATCTGCACTGATCAGATGGCTTGAAAAATGTAAAAAAGCATTGATTTGAATAATTGGTTTGTAATTGTTATTTCCATAAAAGTTAAATGCTTATTTAAATATTTCTTCTTACTTATTAATAATACTAGTTCTCAAGCTTTTTACAATCGAATA